CATCTCGCTACACTCCAGCCGCAGGTGTAAAATGGTGCGGCGTCACGTGCCCTATGAACTTCCAGTCCGCATCTCTTTGTACACGTGACAGTGCGACGTAGCCGGCGGCCTCGACGTTTGCCTTGTCCAGCCAGAGGATCACGCGTGAGAGTGTCGCCCCTTGCACTTTCACGAGAGTGGTGGCATATCCAAGACGCAATGGCAAGCAGGTGCTCCGGCACGGTGCTCCGCCGATCATCACTTCCGTGTCGGTCATGGGGAAGACGGTCAAGATGCGACCAGCTTTCGTGCGCACAACGACCGCCGTGCCTCGAACGGCAACCACTGTTGCTGCCATGCCGTTAACAAACCCGATGCCTTTGTTGACATTTCTGGTCAAGGTGACACGCATGCTGAGGTAGATGGGTAGATACACCGGCTGGCAGTCGACAAGCTGTCCATAGTGGTCGTAGTTCTCCAAGTTGCTCTCGTAATCGGCAGGGACCACAGCACAGGGTCGTTCGTCCTTGAACAGAGCTTCCACGGCTAAGTCGTTGAGAACCGATGCAGCCCGACGCGTCACGGTCACGAACGTAGCATCTGGCCATTCCCCCAGCATCCCTTCCATGTCGAGGTTCGTAGGTTCCGGGCTAAATCCGGGCCCCCTGTCGGGCATTGCCCGATGCCCTCGAATTAAGCGGTGCAGCTGCTCTCGGGAAGGCTTGGCCGTGCGGAGGAGCTCGAGTTTCCACTTCAGCTCTGCACATTTGCAGCGCCTCATGGTGCGCAGATGGCGCTTCGCCACATGTTGCCACCGTGGGCTGTCCGTTGCTCGCGTGCCGTCCATGCCCCGCAGCTGATGGAAGTCGCCAACGAAGATCAGGGCTGGCCTTCGATCCGCATTGTCCCACAGCCAAAGGATCCGCTCGAAGGTTCTCTGCGACAGTTGCCCGACCTCGTCAATCACTACCATATCGTAATTGGCCATGCATTCCCAGGTGTGGTGCTGCTCCCTGTGGAGGAGGAACATGCCGTGCAAAGTGTCAACGTCGAGATCTGGAAATTTCTCGCGATAGCTGCTGGCCAGCATTCCTGTCGGGCAAGCGATTCCCACGTGAGCACCCGCTTCCACGGCCCGTTGAATGGCGACCTGCACGCAAGTAGATTTTCCGCTGCCTGCAGGCCCCAGCACGCACAACGGCTTGGCGATGCGAGGCCGCTGGCTTTCTGGTCTTCCAAGGTATTCTTGCAGAGCTTCTGCAGTTGCTTCATCGGGATATCGCCGGCGAAGCGCCCACATGACCGTATCCTTGATGTTCGTGAGCACTGCAGCCTGTTCGGGCTCGAGCTGTCCACGAAAGCCCAGCTCTGGTGCCGCCACATGCTCGACTGGCGGATACGGATCATCTTCCAGCCTCAAGGATCCCGACAGGTAAGCCTTGATGATGGTCGTGTGGGCCACCAGCATTTCGAGGATGTTGTTCATGGGCGCTTCCCGATAGCCTGCCAGTTTGAGCTGCTCACGCACTTTGAGCGGCCGCTCCCATAGGCCTGGCTTCTTTAACAAGCAAAGGGCCAGCATGCGGTAGCCTTCGGGCACTCGTTCCACACGTTCGTCCCACAGCTCGTCCACCTGCCGGAAAGGAATGTTCAGGACGAGCCACTGTCCATAGAACTCGTCGGTCATCCGGCTTCTCGTCAAAGCCGCCACCAGCACCCTGCGTTTGTTCTTGCGTCTGCTTCCGTTCTTGTTGCTGAGGCGCAAGTACTGGAGGAAGCTGTGGTCTTCGCGGCGCCAGGTGCATGTCATGTAAGCCTCCAGTTGACGGTCTGGCCACTCTTTCCATGGAATCTTGATGCTAACCCGCCTCACGATCCCTGTCATGACCACCTGCCGGAAGGTCTGACCAGCCAATTGCAACCACATCTCCGGTTCCAGGGGATGGTACTCGGAGAGAATGCGCCGCGCCAGATGATAATCTGTGGCTTCCTCATTCAGCCAGCTTGTGGCGAACTGGTCTGAGAACTTGGCGCTGTAACTGGCCGCGTACTGAAGCAGAAGCTCACGGCCGTCGCCAGTCTGAACGTCCATGTGGCAGCACATCGCCCCCATGACGTCCGGCATCCAAGCTCGGACGTTTGCAGCCTTGGCGTCGGCCGGATGCTGCAGCAAGATGCGGTTCTGTTCCGAATCGAACTGAGTGGGTGCTTCGCGCAACGGCCAAGCACTGTCGTCCCAGTCCAGCTGTGATCCTTCCACCAAGTCACGAAGCTCGGGCTCTTCACACGGCAGGTCTGCTCGCAGAATTCGTTGCCAAGGAATCGCCTCGGGGTTGTCGAGCCACACCAGC